TTCTGTTACTGCTTCACTACAGTTGGGGAACTTGAGCAGTAATAAAGCCTTGTTCAAAATTATTGCTTTGGGGGAACTTTTAATATAGCCCTTGAATTATAGTGTTTATGCTGCTTGTGTTGTACCTGCTAATTCTTGTGGTCCAGTATTTTATCATGGTCTCCGTGGCCTCATAGTTCTTTCCGGACTCTAAGTTCTGGGGAGTTTTCCTGTTTTTTTTTCTAGATATAATGGCTTTAAGTGATCTTGAAGTTAACTTCTTGTCGTGTCTGCCCCCCCACCCCACCCCCCGGAATATTTAGGATGGAGTAGGTGCTAAAATAGCTGAGAAGATAGATGAGTTCTTATCCACTGGGAAACTACGCAAATTGGAAAAGGTGGGTTTCTTTCCCTTGTGCTGTATTTCTCTATAGTTGCTTTTCTTTGTAACCTGCAAAGTAGCCTGCTTGCTTTGTGCAATTTCTGTTGTTGTCCCTGGAGAGACTGATGTCAAGCTTAAGAATGGTGGACATGGAGTCTATGGTGAGTAGAAAGCAGGGAATGAGAAGCTCAGCTAAAGCCTCAAAGCTGTCGATTTATGGAAGTATTTTGGGTTATATAATCAGCATGTGAATGTCTTCTGTGAGAAGTGGAATTCTGACCCTGGAAGACTGTGGAGTTTTGTGGTTTAACCGTGCTGTTCACCTCAGCATGGGTAGTTACGCAGTTTTCAGGCTTGGTACATATGGCTTTATTGTGATATACAGTACTATGCTTGGTACTGTTTTGCATCGATTTATAGTGAGCCTCCAAAGCACAGTCTGACTAAACTGTTTTATTTTCTCAGGATTTATTTGTTTATTGCAAATGGAGTAACGAAGGGTTTGGTTTGTGTTGTTTTGTTTTTGCAGATTCGACAAGATGATACAAGTGCATCTATCAATCTCCTAACACGAGTTACTGGCATTGGGTAAAGTCTTTTTCTTTGGTTGGTTGGTTTTAGTTTGTTTTTTTTTTTCCCTTCTCCTGTTTATTTGGTGGAGTTGTGAACAGAATTTGGGTGATTGCAAATGAGGAAGAAAATGAGTTGAGCTGATGGTGTAGTGCCTACACTGAGACACCATAGTTGTGATGAGACAATTTGCTGAGAAGAAAGGGTTTAGAATCATCAGTTACAGACTTTGCGGTAGGGGAGTGGAAGTGGGAAGCTCCTGTGTGCGAGCTGAGAGGGGAAGGAGAGAGGATCTTTTGCTGTTACCTTAAGCTGTTTCAGAGACTGATTGTGGTTCAAGTAGTTATTATCATGTTTTCAGTATTGTTGTCTAGAGCAATATTGCCTATTTGGTGAGATTTTTGTTTGTTTTTTACAATAATATATCACTATATAGTTAAATCAATGCTAAAAAATGTGCAGGCCAAGCCTTGGATAGCCATCTCTGCTGACTGAAAGTACAAACTGAAAATGCGTATGCTGAAAAGAGGGTAAGCATCAGAAGTGACTTCAGTCTTGGCTTTGAAGGATGTAGGCAGTTATAGTGAATTCTAATGTCCTTTTTAGTGCTGTAAGATTCTTGCTGTTCCTGATGGCAGATTGCCTTGTCTCTTTGCAGTCCTGCCGCTGCTAGGAAGTTTGTTGAGGAAGGAATTAAGACTTTAGAAGGTAAGTGTAGCTTTGGGTCCTCAGTTCACACTCCAATAGTGGTTTTTTTCTGTCAAGCTGCCTGTTGCATGGTGGTACTGTGATAGCAGATACGCCCTGGGCTTTGAGAAAAGTGTGTAAGATGCTAAAGTTAGTGCACAGGCTAAAGGCATTGCGTATATATTGAAAGTAAAGTACTTCCAGATTACATGGAAAATAATAAGGATTTTGTCTTTGAGGTGAATGGTCTATTGAAGTCTTTGTTGGGAAGTGCTCTATGCATTTGTACTCATCCTGTCAGCTGTTGAGTAGTCTGTTTAAAATCTCTTCCTTTGTGTTTGAGGTTGCTGGTTTCTTGTTACGTATTCTTTGCATGCATCGTCTTTGCATTGGTGGAAACTTACTGTAAGATTTTTAATCCTCAAGGAACTTCTTTTCTTTGTTTTTCTTAATTCTTCTAGATCTAAGAAAAAATGAGCACAAGCTGACCCATCACCAGCGAATTGGGTTGAAGTAAGCTTTCTTGGGTGCAAGTGCTTGGCTTTTTCTAATGACTCATTCAGACACCAGGATGTAACGTAAGGTTACACCAGCCAAGTAAGGTTCTGTTCTGTCTGCGTGCTCTACATGCTTTTCAGCAGTTATGCAGAGCTTTTGTTTCATTGGAGTTGAAATTCAGTAGGTTTAGTCTCCATCCAGAAGGAAATTAATTGCAAATGACTTTTTCAGTTAGCTCATGGAGAATCACTTTAGCAAGGTTGCAGAGATGTTTCTTGGGAATCTGCATAAAAGTGGCCCGGGCTGTTTTTTGTTATGTCCTGTGAGCAAGGTAAGACCTTTGCATGTCTGAATTTGAGAATGCCATGCAGAACATGTGTCTGTACCTCAGTACTTACCAGCTTGAATTCTACTTGCTGAGTGGCTGGTCCAGTGTGCTAGTTCTGGAAGAACTATAGCTGTGTCTGCAAGAAGCTGCAAGTGAACCAAATAAAGCCCTATATCTGAATTGGTTCTTTGTGGGACCAGCTCTAGCATTTCCACATCAGTGGCAGAGAGGTGGAATATGTGATCTGGACAAACGGTTACACAATGATTGTCACCTTCCACTGCTCATCTGAGCCCCATACTCCGTCAGGGAAGCACACTTTAAACATGTGAGCATTCAAGGGAAATCCTTTCACTGTTAAATGAGCATAAGAAAACTATCCTGACTTATCCATGTTGCTAGTGTACACATTGCCCTTGGGTATGCTTCCAGCATTGTGCTCAGATGTTGTTTCAGAAGCTGCAGCAAGTACTGAGCTGAATGAATGGTTTTAGTGCTCTATGGTGGACTTTTTGTCACTCTTGGAGGGGAGTGAGAGCGAATGGGAGGTGAGGGGAGTCCTGTATCCAGAAGCTCGGTCTGCAGGGCTTGGGATTGGGATGGTTGGGTAACGAGCGTTGGGAAACATGTGGCTCCGAGGCTGCAATATGGCTGCCAGTGCCTGCTGTCGATGGTTCTGGTGCTGGAGGGGTGAAGAATGTGTGCGCTGGTCAGGTGTGTCATTGTTTCACTTGCCTTCTTTTTGCAGTCAAGCAGAGTGCTGGCAGTCTGGTTTTTACAGCTGCATGCAAAGATATTGGGAGCTGTATTTGATTTGTGAGCTTCCATTTAGCTCTTTCCAACATAGATCACCTCTGACCTGCGGGATCTGTTCCTCCTGCTTGCTGGTGGACTGAGTTTTGTCAGGAACCTTTTGTATTTTCAGAGGGATATGTAAATATAAACCAATTGGTTATACGATAATATTACTCCCACCTCATAGGAGCTCTTCATATATGGTGGAAATATTGTGCAATGAAACCTGTCTTCTAAGCATTGTCAAACTTGCAGTTGTGAGTTTTCATTATTGCTTGGCAAGATGTTTTCTAAGATGTTTGGTGAGAATGGGGAGCTTTTTGTGATGTGACAGTAATATAAGTTGTGTTCTTTCCTGTGATACACATTTAATTGACTGAAATTTGAAGATGCTACCCTTGCCACTCTTTCAGACACTTGTATTTTTATATATGCAGATATTTTGAAGACTTTGAGAAAAGAATCCCAAGGGAAGAAATGCTGCAAATGCAGGTAAGAATATCTTTATCAAGGATGTAAGGCACTGATGGTCAACGAATGACTGACACCTCTAAACACACATCTTTCCTTTTTACATAGGAAATTGTACTGAAAGAGGTAAAGAAGCTGGATCCAAACTATATTGCTACAGTCTGTGGCAGTTTTAGACGAGGTTGGTACTGTGAGATCTTGTTATGTTTATTTTGGGCTAATAAGTAAGACTCATTACTATGTATGCTGTTCTTCTAGAGAAAAAGTCTTTGCTGGAACCTGGCTTTTTCCTGTTAGTTTTGTCTTGGCTGGTTAGTTCAGTGACGAAACATCCGCATAAAACCTTGCTTCTCCATCAGGCCCCCACAAAGAGTAGTAGTGTAACATGTGAATTGTTTGCTTTGTCACATTAACAACACTTGTGCTTCATTGCTATACAGTACAGCAAGAAATTCTTGGGTGTTTTCTGAGGTTATGTAGGGAGATATACTTTTTGATGGAAGAATAAGGTTCTCTTACTTTAAGATTGTTTTTTCACAAATACGTTGAATAGTGACTGACTATTTTCTAACAGAAAAACATGTTTATAGGACGAGGTTAGATGGATGTTCACCGATGTTAGTATACTTTGTCGTATGCAGAGGGATTTTTCTTTGCTTCTTGCTTGCCTAGGCGCAGAGTCAAGTGGCGATATGGATGTTCTCCTAACCCACCCAAGTTTCACATCTGAATCATCCAAACAGGTGTGTTTCTCTGCTACTGTGGATCAGTACTGTGCATTACTTCCACAAGGGTATGTTTAAATTGAGCAGATTTGTAGTCTCAGACTTGTATTGCAGCTTTTTGCATCTTTTTGTAACTGCAATAGTAATCTCTTCTCCTGGATCACCATGTTTATTTTGAGGAGTTATACTTTTGGGCAAGAAGCAAATGTCCTGCTGCCCTTGTAATGTTTTGAGACTAACTCCGGAGAAGTCTTAATGACAGTTTATGTTTCTTGTGTTGCTTCTATAGATTCAGTGCTTAAATGTTGAAAAGTTGAACCAAAAAATGAGTTTTGTCGCTTCTAACGAAAGCAATCTGACATGGGGATTTTACTGGAAATTTTTTTTTATGTTGCACAACTGTAATTTTATTAGCTTTTTCTCAGTATTGTTATCTTTTTTCTCCTCTAGGTCAAATTTCATGTACAATAATACATAAAATTATAGTGATATCCTGTACTTACATGGACCCTTGTCTGGTAAATGGGTAAGATATTATTGTTATTTGTGAAATAATTTCTTCTTCTGTGTTATCACTGTTCCTAGCCAAAACTTCTGCGTCAAGTTGTAGAACAACTGGAAAAAGTCCGCTTTGTCACAGATATGCTGTCTAAAGGTGACACCAAATTCATGGTAAGGCTTTTTTGGTGGTGAGGGTTGTTGGGGGCGAGTACCTTTCCTGACAGAAGCTAGGGTATATACAAGATATGTTGTTTGGACTGCTGGGGTTGTGACTTCTTTTTTTTTTTTTTTTTTTTTTAATTTCTCCCCCTTCCCCTCATAAAAACTTTCTGCAGTTAACTCTTAGTGAATGTCTCATGGTAAGATTTCAGTATTAGAAAATCTGCAGGTATTTATGTAGACAGAACCTTCATCACACAATGCCAGTTGTGTCTCTGTTTTGCTTGATGTTTCCCCAGAACCTCACTTCTTCAGTTGCACCAGTGACCACTTTTGTAACTCTGTCCTCAAGATCTTGGAAACACTCTCTTTGATCTTGGGCCTAGGTTTACCTTGTTTTGTCTAATACATAATATACTTTTGTCTCCTTTTTTGTCAGTTTTGTTGCAGAGCAGATTTAATGGATAAGCTGCTAGACTCAGGATATAATAGGGAATATGTGGAATGCCTAAAGAAAGTAATGAATTACAGGAACATTCATTTTGTTATATCCCTTGCTCACAGTAAAACTGTATTTTTTTTCTTAAATGTGTGGATTGGGTGTTATCTTGCTTCACTTCATTTTCTTTACAGGCCCCACGTATCCTGGTCTTACAGGCTGATTAAAAGTTAATTCTAACAGAGAAGTGTAGAACTATAAGCAATACTGAGTGAAAATGAGGACTGATTAGTTCCTGTTAGTCACTCATACTGGCTTTATGAAATTCCTTGGAAGCTCAGAGGAGTGGTCCTGCAGGAAGGTTTGCCAAAGGTCCATGACTTGTGAATGTCTATTTAAGAATCAAGATACTGTTATATTCAACTAATTGTTTGGAAAGCATAAATACTTAATAATACTACAGTTAAAGATACTTGCTTTCCCAAGATGAAAGGGGCTGTTGGAGCACTTGATTATTTGATTATTTTTTTTTTGGTTGTTGGTTTGGTTTTGCTTAAAATAAGAGCTAGAAGAAATTTATCTTCAGTTTAGTTTGTGTTGCATTCTGAGAGGGAATGAAACTTGATGGCTTTTTTTTTTGGCGTGATCTTTAGGAGGAATAAGTGAAAGTCGCTTTCATTCTTGCCAGACTGTTTAAGTGTGAATACCGTATGGGTTTAAAGCTAAATTTACATCTGTGAGCCAAAAGGAGAGACACTCTTCATTCCCAGTTTGTACTCACAGTTCAACAAGTTCATTATAGTTTGACCATTTGCTGTATATAATCCTGCCAGTCTTAAATAGTTGTGGAATAGATCTTGTCTTCAAAGTGGAAGCTAAGAAGGGAATGTTGTAAAAAGGAAAATATGACTGCAGCTGAGAATCTGAGGAGACAGACAATGTAACTTTAAAAGCATAAGCAATGTTAAGCTTTCAAAACAAAGCTAAGAATAGGAGAGGTCTCAGCATGAACCTGCAATTGGCGGAACAGTTTAGTATGTAAACATTTGTCATCATTCCTTATGGTTCATATCCCCCCCACTGCTCCATTGTTGTTTAAGGTGATGCAGACTAGGAAAAACAGAAAACTTTGATATGTGAATTGCATGAAGATTACGAAGCAGTTTGAAATGAAAAGTGGCAGAGGATTTCTCAAGAAAAAAACTTTTTTTTTTTAAATTTCTATTAGCTTGAGCTTCGTCTGCATTTTCCTTAACTTGCTCATGTTTATGCATACTGAAGAGCCTGGTAATAATTAGGGCAGATGAATGGGAAATGAGAAGTCTTGTGATCCTTTCTGCTGTAATAAAAGCTTAAGAAGCATTTAAATGCTACATTGAACTGCATTCCTCTTAGTGTAAAATAGTGATTCTTGGTGCTATGACATCCAGCTGTTCTACTAAAATATTTAATCGGTTCAGTGGGAATTTAACTTTGCTCTCCAGGATGACTGAGGATTGGTTAGAGGTGAGGAGATTGATCTCAAATCTGTTTAATTTCACTTTGAATTTCTTGCTTTCCTTACTTCCTCACAGGGTGTCTGTCAGCTGCCAAATAAAGAAGATGGAACAGCCTATCCACATAGGAGAATTGATATCCGGTACACACACCAAAAAAACCCCAAAAGCCCTACTTGAGTTGTCTGATACATAGTAGGCATTTGCATCAGTTTCTGCATTCAAATCTCTACTTCTGTGTTCAGAACATGGCATTTACTAGGTTTCTAATTCCTTTGCAGTATGGAAGCCACTGTACAACTGCCTGTATCTACAACAGGTTATTAGCAAGAATGCTATGTTTTAAATCCTGACTTTGTATCCAGTTTCAGAATTGTGACCTACTTTATCATATTGCTTTGACCCCTTGGCAGGAGTGCAAGCGCCATAACCATGTAGTGGCTGAACAGCAGTAACTTCTGGGTCAGGGTAGAGTTCTGAACCTTTCTTTTATATGCAAGTCATTTCATTCTTGCATCTGACTTGTGGGAAAATCAAACCTGCAGAGTTGCAGAATGTGTGCACTATGTGCACACATAAGAAATAAACCTAGAACAGTGTCTGAATGTGCCTGAATTCCAAGTGGCTTGTTACTTCTTTGTTACATATTTGTTCTAAATATGTACTTTTCTTCCATTTTTATTCTAGGCTTATCCCCAAAGATCAGTATTACTGTGGTGTACTGTATTTCACAGGAAGTGATATATTCAATAAGAACATGAGAACTCATGCTCTGGAAATGGGCTTCACGATCAATGAGTATACAATCCGTCCCTTGGGTGTCACTGGTCAGTCTGGGCCTTTGCACAGAGTATTCTTCCTAGTTACATCCTTTGTGTGATCTTCTCCTTAAACTGATTTCTCAGTGTACTGGAAATACTTCTGATAAATGCTGTAGTTCATTAAATTTCTCACAGTGTCCTTTCCGGTATTGGACACCATTATAGCAGGAAGAGGCAGCCTACTTTATGTATAGACAGCACTGTGGCACAAAGTTACCTCTTTCGTCCAGATAATCTACTTAAAGTCTTACTGACCTAAAGATTGTTTTTTCAGTGTCCATGCACAGCACATATGTGGTTTCCCAATCTTAACAAGATATGTCACGTCCTCCAGTTGTTTGGTTTTGGATGGGGGCTGACTATATATATATACACACACACGCAAATATAAATACATTTAACTGCATAACCACGTGGCCCCAAAGTTAATTCATTACCTTATTTCCTTTGGCACTAATGAGAATCAGTTCCTAAACACTGTATGAAAAGGTCAGTGGGCAGTGTTTTGGTTTTTTAAGCCTGTTCTACTTACAGCAGTTTTGTCTTAATCTTGCAATGCTTTTGGCATTTCAGGATTGTACAGACCTTCCACCTTTCAAATAGCATCTGTAATTTGCTTGCAGGAGTTGCTGGGGAGGCGCTACCAGTAGAATGTGAAAAAGACATCTTTGACTATATCCAGTGGAAATACCGAGAGCCAAAGGATCGGAGTGAATAACTGCTTGTCTAGGTGTGTAACCTACAGAGATGTTTTCATAGCTTCTTATGAAGATGCAAAGTGCATATTCTTTCTTTGGATGTTATTGCGAAAAGTTACTGATGTTTAAAGCAAGTCCATGGCACTAGCACAGAATGCGTAGTGAAGATTAAATCCTGTAAGATCTCATTTTGATCTCTCTCCCCCCCAGCCTCCCCTCGCCCCTTAAAGCTGATTTAAAACACTTCCTGTGTTTAACTGAATGGGCTGCAATACTAGAAGAACCTGTGGGGAAGGTGGTGTGGCAGTCAGACCCCCTTAGAGAATGCATATTGTCTTTTGCTTTGGGATTTAGTAAATAATTATCAGATGATAAATCGCAGGTTTCTATTTAAACCCTGAGGAACAGCAAGTTCTGATATAAAGGCAAAATGTTTCATCTTATTAAATTTCTTGTGGCTTGGTTTGAAGATGGTGGCTGTCAAATCAGAATTAATGCTGGTTCTTTGGAATCACTGGAAAGTCTTACAAAACAATATTAGCCTTTTATAAAAGGCTGTGTGCTTTGATTTGATAATATCTGTGGTGATCAAACCATTAGTTTTTTTCTAATAATTTTAGTAGCACTTAGGCTGTGATCATTGTTAGAAAAGTCTCTGGGTATTTCAAACTGAACAAGCATTCTTAGCTTGTTTCTTGTAGTTTTGCAAAAGACAATCAGAGTTCTGATGCTTCCGTGTTTTAATATCATGTACACAGACATACTCTGTGCAAACCGTGTTAACTGTTTAATATCTAAAAACTGGGCAGTTCTTGGAGGAAATAACATAACTTTTTTTTTTTTGCTATGTTGAGGTTGAAAGACTTGGAAGTAAAACCATTGCTTTTGTGTTGCCATTGCAAATTTTCTCATTAAGTAATATGTATGATTTTTTAAAAATTATTTTTTAATGCAGTTTGAATAATTATGTCTGTAGAGCATCTTGGAATGCTCAAATGAACGTTTTGCTAATATGAGCTGCTGGCATAAATTGCTTGAGTATATAATCTACAGCATGTGTGTGTAGCAGCAGGCACTTTATAAATAATCATAGATCAGATTTTGTCATGACAGTGAGTTAGTTACTGGCATTGCACAATTAAGAAAACTTGAATAGTTCTGAAACTTCAGTTTCTTTCATATATATCGGGAGACTAGAAGAATTGTATTAGGAGAGCATTATTCTTGCAGCACTTAAATAAGTGCCATAATTATTATAATATTATTCTTACAGCACTTAGATCTCAGACTATGTTTATGTCTCTCTTTTCAAATGTATATTTGAAGGGGAGTAGGTGGAAAAAAGCACCTAAAAGTCTATTTCCCACCCCCACTGAGTAGATGAAAGAGTAAAACACTTTTAATATTGGTTACACAAAACAATGTATTATGCCTGCCCACTAGCCAGAAAACATGATGGGGCAGGCTTTTGGGAACATATAAATCAGGCCAAAAAAAGACTGCCCATGTGTTTAGTTGCACAACTAACTGCTCCAATATTTTTTCCTTAAAAATGTATCATTGGAACACCTAAGACTAGCAAGAAACATGAAAGACAGAAATGTCTTAAATTCCAGTGCTGAAGTTGTACCTTGGCACATAGTTACAGAGTGCAAAGTCATTATCGCTGGTGCTATTGAAATACTACACTTTTATGTGACTATAGAAGAATGAACGTGACACACAAGCCAGATATAACTAATGATTTTCTGTAAGATTTCAAGTTCAAAATCAGACAAAGATGTTATATTTATATTATATTTATATTATATTCAAGCTCTGCAATAACTGGAGCAAATAGGAAAAGGAAATGGGATACTTGTCTTTGGAAGACCCTTTCCAGTCTTGAAGTGGAATTTTTAAACCATTATTCATGTCTCTTGGCTGCTGTCAAAATCCTTCAGTGATGGAGAACCTGAAATCTGCTGGGCCAGGTGCTTTCTTTGCAGCATTGTTAAATGTTACAGATCATTTTGACACCAGGTGGAAACGTTTGAGGTGCATAAACTTTAAAATATTCTTTTGAGCTTTTAAAGAAACTAATCTTAACTTGCTTGCCTAGGGTGAAGGGAAAGGTATCTCCTAGCACTGGGTCAGGCTATTGGACACACTATTGCTTATCATTCAGGGTTATGGACTGAAATAAATGTAAGGTGTTCAGGTCGTTATATGTTGTAGGCTGATGTTTCCTTAGTTGCTGCTGTTAGTTTGTCAAAGAGGAGGCCTGAGTTTGTGGTACAGTGCAGAAATAACTCTAGATTAAAATGCACATCACTTTATACTGCTTTGTGTTACTAATATCTCTTAGTCTTTTGGCAGGTGCTCAGGTGCGATCGCTGTGCAGCTCTACTGACTAGTGTTTGACAAGAACTGAAGCCATGGTCACAGTGCTGAAGAAAATCCGCATGTTGAACAACGTCACTGAGAACTAACTGGCTTGCAGATTTTGGTCTGGAAATGATGTGCACAGTAAAGCCCAGAAGCACAGCATAAGGTGCAAAGGCAGCTTTCTCCCTTTTGACCTGTGATAAGCAGCAGGTGATCTGCCCTTCTGTCCTTTCTTCAGCCACTCTATCTTGTCCACAGATTCTTCCTAGCTGCTTTCCCTGTGACAAATCAACGTTTAACACGCCCTGGCCATGGATTAGCAACCACCTTCCCCAGCCTTATTCTGGCTTTCTCTTTTTATTCAGCTCCAAATGTCCTACTGAAATGATGTAAGAGATCCAGAGCAAATACTAAGGTTTCCGTGTCTTCCCACATAAGGAACACAGAACATTACACCATTATGCATGCTGAAGTGTGGTTTCTTTTCCACAAGAGCTCTCCCTTGCCAGTTCTGAACAAATTTGTATCTCCTTTGTGGATGTTTCTGTTACCCAGAAACTAATTCTTGTTTACTGGCTAAGCGTCTGTTACAGGTTTGGCAAGATATGCAGCAATTTTGTAAATGTGTGGAAATTCTTAATGTACATAATAGGATTATTTTCTGCCTCCTCTGCACTAGCTCTGCTGCTGAGTTTGCTGTTTTAAAAGCGGTGTGTATTTCTTTTGCTAAATAATGTATCTATTAATGTCTTCCCTATAGAGTTTGTCCAACTGAAACTGCCTGCGAGAACTGGTGGTGTGGCTTTTAAAACCACAAGGATGTGTGCCTGTGTAGAGATCGTTCTTATACAATTGCCTGTTCTCTCTGTCTGATTAGAGTGCAGTTGCATATTCTGCAGAACTACTTGGAAGTTCTCCAGAATAGTTTGTCTGTGTATCCATTTCTCCATTTGGGTAAGCAGGTGCGTGAGTGCTTGCAGTTCTTATTTTATGCACTTAGCTCTTAGTGTAATGGGTTTTAGGAGCGGCACAGCAATGCAGATGACTTCACAATTGTCAGGGGCTCCTGAGAGCTTTGTGTCGTGCAGAGACAGCAATAGCAGAAAGCATTCCATTTATTTCTTTTCATTTAAGAACATCACTATGCACGTTAACTAGATAACTGCACAATTCTTACAACAGTAATCCCATTCCTCATAACTGAGTCTAAACCAAAAGAATGTTGTCATTGCGTGTGATGCTCTCAGCTGCCGCCTCTGACACTAAATTGCAAATAGCCACGTTTCAGATGTGCTATGAAAGGAAGAGGAGAAATGGTGCTGAGTTTCCCTAGAGAGTAGAGAAAGGGGATGAGAATTCTAATGAGAGACTGTATGGTCTCTGAATAGTGTTGATACTTTGCCTTGTGGTGTGTTTGTCCTGCTGCCTTGAGACAAAAATCAACCTATCTGTTGTTTTCTCCTGACATTCTTAAACATTCAGAGATTTATACCCGCATAAATTTTTACAGACAGAAAGATCCATTCTTGAAGAAGGTCACAGATCCTATTTTTTATGTTAAATGTTACTTTTTTTTTAACATCAAGCCTTGATCCAAAAGTGTCAAGTGATGAAGAATAAGCAAAGTCTCTGTTTTTAGCAGTTTTTTAAAAACAAACACAAAGACAAAAAAACCAGCCACCCAATTTAAATAATAGATAAAATTGTCTAACATAAGCTTTTAACATACAACTGTTTAATCTAGAAGCAACAATCCTGCTCGTGAAGACAGACTGCACCTCTTCTCTTGGTCAACCAGCCCTCTCCTCATTAAGAGATTGAAATTTTGAACTGATGTAGGCATTTACCCGCTTAGAACTGCTTATTGGTCTGCTGGATCTTTCTTCTAATCTGTTTCTAGTTCTTTGTATCTTATGTATGTGTAGACACCAGAATGAGAAAGCTGGCTGCATCCTGAAGTACTCCTAAAGAATACTATTTTCAGTTACTATCTGTATCTCCTTATCTCTGTGTTAAGTGTCCTGGTGCAGTGCTGAAGGTCATGCTGAGCTGTTTCTGAGTCCATCCTTCTAAAACCTTTCAGTATGGCCATATACTAATGTGACCATTCTCCTCTTGTATGTGACCCATGTTTTTTCCTAGATACGTTGTAGTACTATCAGTTGCAGTGTTCTGTATTTTGTCCACCTTGCCATTACTCAGAAGACTGGTCTGATTAATTGATGCATTTTTATCACTCCTATAGAGTCAATCTGCCCTTTTTAATATGCAAACCTGTCAGCTCTGATTTTATAGCTCCTCTTAAATCATTGTTAAAGGCAATGACTATTTTGATGTGAGAGGAGGTCCTGTCAAATTTGCATTACTAGTTGTATTTGGGACAGAGATTCTGTTGGGTAACTTAAAACTTAACTAGTAAACTAGTAACTTTGATGTATTATAGAGCATCAGCATGGACTGTATTGCTGCTGCTGTATTTGAATATTTCATAGGAGTGTAAGGCAAATGAATTACAGAATTGCAAGTTTGAAAAGTCAAGACTATTTTATAGTCAAATTGACTATTGCTAATCATGTAACGCTTTTCTTGATTTGTTAATGATTAGGTCCTCTGTCTGCCTTTATGGGGGCAGAGGGGAGTTTGCAGCTATATTGTCAGATTACTTAACCTGACTTGAATCATAAAACAAAGACAGATATAATACTGTTCCTTATTTTTATCTGACTTAAGCCTACAGAATAACTACATTTTTACTTGTTCTTATATAATTTGTGTTAATCAGTCTTAGTAATGGAGATTATAGACTGATGCTCTTGCTTATCC